GACGGCAGATTCGTAAATCCGTCACTGTATCCCGGTCCACTCACGTGGAAGGGGAAGCCGAAACACGTTTCTGAGATGGAGTGAATCCGGGACGAGATCATGGTTCCCATTGACGCATTCGATAGAACTCATGATCAGCCTCACTTACTTCCGGATAATTCCGAGATAGAAGGTCTCAAATGATTTTCGTCGCTTATTCAAGGACAGCTCTTTGTAGATGGAGGCACCATGTACTCGGAGTCTTGAGAGAATATCAGCCGTCATGAAATTAGTTTTCCGGCTTCCTCGTCAATCGCAGGGATGTTTGGGGAGGAAACCTAGAGGCGATTGGGCTGAAACGATGAATCGATCTTCCTTGTGAGCCATCAGCACGCGGGAAATTCTGAAATCATTGTTTCTTCAGCCGACGCTGACGTTGCATCAGATTGCAACTCGCTCATGAAAATCGCTCTTTCCCAAAGTCTCTAACCACTAAGACAGCAATTCTAAATTATTTCTCACTCGCGAAACACCTAATTGTAGGTAAATAATTGCAGAACCCCTCATGGAATCGCGACTGAGCTCTGGATAACCCATGGAACCCTGCGCGGGACCACAGTATAACCCGAGTTCTGTGTCTCGCGGATTCTCTTGGTCCGCTAGGAGGGGAAAAATTCACTACTTTCTTACTCGACAACGTCTCGAGCTCATTCAGGGTATGCGACAACAACACTGTATTAATTTACCGTCGGAGTGTTTTGCCGCGGCAACGGAACGCATCAATGCGAGGCACGTCCTTGTATGTACCATTCTCGATGCGATCTCGGCGGAGTCAGCAGTTTTCTCGGACAGCTGAAGCCTGATGTCGGACGCATGATCCAGGCGGTTCCTATGCTTGTTCTTGGTAGCGACGTAGAGCGAAACTCCTCTCTCACAAGGACATAAGCTCACCGATGGCACCAGGTTGCGGAGAGCCTTGTCGGACAAGACTGAGAAATCTTCAGCCACAGCGGCCCACAACGTCGATACGGAAACTGAGGCGAAGAGCTCTTTTAGTTGTTGATTGCTCCGGATTTCAATTAGCCGCTCGTCCTGACTGGCCATCAGCCCAACTTGGAGACTCGACGAGGAAGGTTTTCTCATCCAAGGATGAACCAGTCTGCCTCTCGTCAACGTATGAGGGCAGTTCAAAAACTAAGACCTCTCGCAGCTTCGATACGGAGATGTCAGACTAGACGCTGTCGTCCGAAGTCACGTCGTTCTCCCCGAGGAGAATACGATAGAGTGAGCAAGAAATCGATTTGACCGTCAGTTAACGCATTCCATTATTATTATCATCGCTCCGATTCTTTCTGTCGCTCCGAATCCCGAGATCGCTCACACATGCCGCGAGGACGGTCCGAACTGAGCATCAGGGCTTCACCCCGCAACTCGAACAGCCTGTTGAAGACTCGACCTCGCCACGCTTTCCGGTAATGAGGAGCGAACACAGGTTTGCGCTCCCCCTCTCCTCGAACATCCCGAACAAACTCGATTCCACTTACTTCCCTTCCTTGATTTTCACTATTCCTCGCGTATTTAGCTCGAACTTGCTTGATTGGAGGCGATGACGTTTGATGCAGTCCACGAATTGCATGCGAGAGAGCAACTCACAGCTTCTTCCGGCCGGTTTCCTAGCAGAATGGAAGATGTTCCATCGATAGAACTTCGCGATGGATCACGCAGTTCGCGTATTCCCTTGATCATTGAAATCGCTTCGTTTGAAGTGTCTTTGACCTGAAAAAGGTTGAATATTGTCTCGATGGCTAAACCGGAGTCTCTTCCCGGAAATGTCTAGCGGCTCAACCGTGGCTGGCTTGATGGAGAGCAACATAATCAGAAATTGTTATATTCGCTCTGAGCCCCCGAGAAGAAAGTTGATCGACTGAGGTGTGGAGCGATATTTTCCCGAGCAGTCAGCTGCTCCAGGACGCTCTCAATTTCATCGACTCAAGACACATAATTTGCACCGATCAGGTTCCAAAATGCCAACTTTATCGAGATGGAGCACGATACGAATGAGTTCTTGGGCAGCGACCATCCGAGAGCATGGCCGTAAATCATCGCAAACTCTCGAAGCGATGGATCTGACGGACACAAAGACTCGGATGCCCACTGAGCCGGACTTCATTCCGGAGATTCGTGTCTGTATGTAATGATCTGAATTGCCATGATTGATATCACAGAGAAACCTCGTTACAACGAAACCTGTTTGAGCGAAATTTCAGCGAGCATCCCTCCCGTCTCTGTTCGGCCCGCCGTCGGCGTCAGTATCGAGGAGCTCGCTCCAAGACGAATATTTCTCTCACCTCCTTGCTGTGTTCTAACGCTAGGCCTCGTTGATCGGATCTCATTAGGTCGATATAAGCCGGCAGGACCATTCTAGCTGATCTCGAGCTCCAAAAACACATTCGGATATCTCATAGTGCTCGAATCTTTTGACCGGTCGCGATGTCGTTTTTGCTCCTAGGGATTCGGATGATTTTCCGGCGTTCGGAGCGTGTCTCATGGCGCGGAGGGGGCCCAGAGCGTTGCCGAATGGCTACGCCAATCAGGAGAGAAAAATCCGGTAAGAAAATACGTGCTGTCGCGAGGCAATACTGCATGAGCAGCTAAACTCTATCAAAGTTCTCCAAAGACAGGGAAACGATGGGGGAATAGCGCCGTACAGCGAAGGACGATATCACCCGGGAAAAACTGAGTCGAATTTCGTCTAGAGGGTAGAGCGAGACCTGCTGATTGTGAGATTGGAGATGATTCGCGGGTCAGCCCTTATCTCCGCGCTCCCTCTTGGCTCTGAAAGTTTGGAAGCTTGTGGGGATTGGCTGGGCAGATTTTGCGGGAGGTACGGCATACCAGCGCGGACATTTCTGCCGAATTTGCTCACGCCGTGATCGAGAAGGCGAGCGGATGGCTTGAATCAAGAATGAGGAAAACCATACAGCAACATTCTCTTCCTGGTATCTTCAACGCCGAACGAAAAAAAAAAACACTTCTAAAAGTTGTTGCCAGAACGCACTCTGGCGATAAGAAACGTCGCCCGTTCAAAGGCAAGAAAATTGAAGGAACGTTTGACAGCATGTTTTGTTTCCTCGTAATGCAAGCGGGACAGACATCAGAAAAGTTTCGGTAATCGGGGAGCCGGTGAGACCGGTGGCTCAAAATTTTACATCGATGTGAAAACGGCAATGCTCTCGATAGCTTTCGGTTGGTCTGAAGTCAAGTCGTCACCATCCTGGAGTGTCGGAGTCACAGCGGTTCGGTGAACATACAGAGGGAGACGAATTCGATGAGTCACAATCAGACAACGCCTTTGATCTTTTGGCGATTCATGCTCGGAGATTGAACTTGACGTCAGACTTTGATTTCGACGTCAATGGCGAGCTCCCACCTTGTGAGCCACGGATAATAATTGGAGGAGTCTCGAAAAATGAAACCCGCAAGAGATTGAGAATTATAGTGACGATAGCCCCACCGGAGAGGAAGCATGACGATGTTATTTGCATGTGGATCGGAGTCATGGGAAAGAGTGAAGGATCAACCAATTAAGTCTACCCGGAAAATCGACGGGAAATCCGCCAACCTTTGTACCCCTAAATTCCTTTACAACCAGCGAGGTCTTCGGTCCCAGAGTACTTCGTCGTGACCAGGTTCCACCATACAAGGAAAGAAGGAGATAGAGATACTCTCAGCGGGAAGCTCGACACGTGGCGATTCTCGCATCACAAGCTGACCAACGGCTGTACTCGAGATTTTCGTCAGTTAGGTCAAGGCCGTCTGGAGATGGAGGGCGCAATTGAATATTAATGCTGTCCTTGGAGAAACAGCGCGGAATCGAGTGATTGGCACCATAGGTCAAGTTCCTGGTTAGTGTCTGGCAGTTTCAGCGCTTCTTCCGGCTCTTTCCCACTCCTGTCTTCGCTGCGAGAAACTGCGATACAACTCCGAAGAAGGGGAACAATGGAATAGAATCTGAATATTTAGCATACTTCAGTCTGCGGAAGGAGAGAACCGGTGATAGGAATCCGCAGCGGATCTCGGCTCGACTTCCGGCGACCAGTTCTAGAGCTCATCACGAAGGATCGGAGCAGAGTCAACGCGACTCCTCGAATCGGCCGAGTTCACCGTGACGGAACACCATGATCATTAGATGCCGGGATCGGCTCTTCACGGTGTACAACAAGCCCCGCGATGGTCGATTTGGGGGGCTAGTGCTGAGATAGGACCATCAATCACGAGTTTCCCACTAATGCATCACTGGCAATGGGGGGAATTTCGCTTGCGGCGGGTCTCCCGAGGTACTGGAAGTCGAATTAGATATCCCGATCCGAGTTTCCTCCATACAGGCCCTCAGCACTCATCAGAGACTCTGCATTCCAGCTCGAAGACCGCAGTACGGCACCCAATGTTGCAGAGGGGCCCGCGCTGAAAATTGAACGAATCGGTCGATCGAGTGTTCGATCTTCGATGAAGAAAGCTTCTCGCCGAACATACGACATCCTGGGAGTTCCAAAGCGGCGTGCCCAACTTTCGGAAGGAGCCCAGCATACCATGTGAGTATTCGTTCTATTAGCACGGAATCGATGCGAGGAGGTGGGCAAGGCCGGTAGCCCGCGCGGATCAACCTATGATGTAGTCGGGCATCTGAATGTCCACGCTCATCACAGGTGTATGGAGAGAGATAGTTAACTTTTGAAAAATCTAGATTGCTTACCCTTCTCGCAAGTGGTAGCGACCATTTTGCGCTCAGTCCGATGTCGAGCGAGGGATTTTCATTCAGTAGGACCGAGCGCTCCGACCTAATTCCGTAGTCGTAGAGTGAAAAAAAGCCAAAATACTTCCCTAGGCGTATTGAAAATATCAGAATGAATCAGCGGTGAGCTCTACGGGTTCCCCTTCATTGAGTCCTCTCGGTTTTTCATTGTTCGGCTGATCGTGAGTGAGCGGTTCTATTCGGACTTCAGACTCATCATTACTTGATAATGTTCTACTGGATACTCTTCGCTGTTATGCTGGATTATGTCTACTTCAAAGTCAAGTACACGACGCCGAACGGGCCTCCGGTGTGGTACGTGTTCCCGTTCGTGGGAGCGGCGCCGATTTTCTGCTTGCCCACCTTCATCTACAAGCGTATCTACCTATGGTATTTGAAATATGGCCCGGATGTGATTCTAACGCGAGCGCCCAGAGCCGTGGTGCTGACGAAAGGATCCGCTACCAAAGCTGCTCTTCGCAACGAGAATTGCCAGAGCAAACCCGAAGTATATCTCATGACTTATCTCGGATGGATATTGACGGGGAAAGACGGTCTAGTCTACACCGACGGCGGCCAGGTCGAATGGAGGTCTCACCGCAAAATCGACGTCGCCGCTCTATACGCCCTGCCCAGACGTGAGATGGTCGTGAAATCCTCCGAAGTGGTGGATGTCTTCCTCCGGGAGATCCAAAAACACGAAGGAGAAGCATGGGACTGTGAGCATGAGCTGGAAGTCGCCAAGTACCAAGAGTCGGCCAATTTAAATTTGGGATCTTGTTTCGAAGATAGCGACATCAAACAATTCGTGGCCATCGTGGCGAACGTCTTCAAGAAGATGCTGGTGGTGTCTATTGCGATAAACATCATGCCACGGAGCTTAATCCCTTGGGTCGAGGGCCTCCTCCCTAAGATTGTGAGGCCTGCGCACATAGCTCGAGTGTACAACGAGGCCTTGTGGGTATTAATCCAGAAAAAACTATCGGAGAAGGAAGACAACCGAACCCGAGATTTCCTCGCAGCAACGCTCCGGGTCAAGAAGCCCGCCGAAGCCCACGAATATCTCCGCGCATCTTCCTTCTTCCTCATGATAGGTAATACTCATAGTACTCATCACACGATTCTGAGCGCTCTCACGAACTTAGCTCTAGAACCTGCGATCCAGGACAGGCTATACCAAGAAATAAAATACGTCCTCGGCCACGACGAGCTCACGCTTGAGCACCTCGATAGCATGCCCCTCTTGAAAGCGGTTATCATGGAGACCAACCGTCTGGACAGTCCGTTCCCTTTTAATCTGAGGCTCAGCACAGCCCCGACGGACATCCTCGGATTCCCGATTCCCGCCGGAATGCCGATTCTGATGTTCATCCACGCAGAGAATTGGAATCCGGACCATTTCCCGCAACCTCTCTCGTTCCGACCCGAGCGATTCATCGATGATCAAGGAAATTATTTGCCGAATCCCAACCACGGCATATTCGGCGGGGGCAAACGCGAGTGTCCTGGTAAACACATAAATATCACGACCGCGGGCGTTTTCCTTTCGAAAATCCTTCAGCACTACCGGGTGGAGCCAGCGAATATCAACGCTAAGCCGGCAGAACGGATCAGCTCCATGTTTCCGGCTCCGTCCAAGATCCCCTACCGGTTCATTCGGAGGAACAAAGACTTGCCTCTGCCTCTGACGGAGCCCGCTTCAGATCTCTCAGAAATTTTCAGAGAGGTTCTTGATCGAGTCAAATGACCCCTCGACCGTACAGTACAGCTGCTCCGGATGATCGGGAAATATGAGTACATCTCCATGCAATACGAATTCTTGTAAATAGATAGATCAACCGTGAGAGCGGTGCGTACGATCGGCGTCGCTTCGCAACGTCGCTGACTTTCCGTGTCCGGAGTCAATTTTCCCTACTTCATCTGTCCAACGAACTCTGAACCTCATGAAGATAGATGCGGCGTCATTGCATGGATGGGGAGCCGCGATGAGTCGTCAGCGGCTGAGAAGGTACATCAAATCATTTTCCCCTGGGATTGTTCGCAGAACCCATAATTTTCCGCCGGGTCGGTGGATTCTGCCGAACTGATGGCGCCGCGCGAACTGCGTCTCTGGGGCATTCCAATGGACAGTGCCAGCTGTTGCGACTAAGTAAACTGTCGGAAATGTGGAACCGTCCGTATGTCGGAAACTTTCCGCTAAAAATAAAAGTAAGCCACTGTGAAGCGACAGTACACTACTTCGTATCGGAGAGTGGCCGGAGTCAGTGCCGAAAGTTCAGGATGCGTCGAGTCCGTGATTATGCTGAGTCCAGCATTGTAACTTCGGCACCGAATCCAACGGTCCGCGGTGGGGGGGGTTCGAAGAGAGTACTCTGTCTTCATCATGGAACAACCTCTGATATGGGAAGCTGGCGCCGTATTCCTGGCCATCCCCGCGTCCGAGTTTTCCTTCAGGATGATCCGAGCCCCGGATGTATCGTCACTATCCTATCATCGGTCGCTTAGGATAAAAATGAACCCCGAATGAAAAACCGAATGCTTGACGCTTGGCCATCTGGATCTGCCTCGGAATGGTATGGATACAGGTGTGAGCAAGAGCGTCGGATTTCACTGTATTTGGTCAAGCACTTGTCGGCGGCTTAGAGCTGGTCGATTTTCCGACGGGCGCAGTAGCACTAAGCTCCTACAATTTTGAATGCGGGGACCCTGCTCCGATCCGAGCAGGGAAATCATTCTCCTCAGAGCCTTGGTAGCCACATCAATCGAGGAAGCTTGAAAGGAAATCTCGCCGGACGGAAAGTCTCTGTGTCCCAGGGGTTATCCAGGAGGGGAAATAATCTTCACATTTTGTTTCCGCTCTCGAGGGTTGATTCGATTCCTCATGGGAAGTCTGCAGGTACAGGGCTGATGGGTTAAAAATAGGCAAAAACTGAGGTACAGGGCAATTCATATCGGCGCGGGCTCTAAAATAAAAAAGTCTGGATGGTCTTTCGCATTTTTTTCATTCACGATCCTGCAGTCAGAGTAGCTCCTAAATAAATTTCAGTCACAAACCGTTAGATGGGGTGTCGAGTTCAAGAGTCACCGGCGTAGTCATAGAACTCCGATAGCATGGCAGCTTCCCATGTACATCTATATTCCCTAATTCGTTCTTCCTCCGAGTTCCCCCATCGCCCCAAGGAACAGAAGTCGTCGCTGTTTGAGCTAGTACTCGACTTTCACTTTTTCTTCAAAGAAAGTCCACTTCGTAAAGCGTTGATGTGAGCAAGTCGAACAGTTTCCTCAGAGATTGCGGCTTGTCTGGAATCTATGGAAGAGGAAATCGGTCTTGAGCCCATCGGTGCGGGGGGAGGATTGCAAGATAAAGATTCTGCCATCGATCATCGTTGTTTATGCCGGAGAACCAACCCTTTTGAGTATGTCATGATAATTCATGTGGAGCTCTTCGGCAAAGCGAATCATCATTGGATTCTCCTCTAGAACTGTGAGCATCTGATCGCCGTCCTTCCAACATGTCTGTGTTAGCTTTTCGCGGATTATGCAGCGCAATTCATCCAGGCCGACCCAAAGACGGTTGCTCCCTCTCACAACCAGCTGTATCGAGCAACCGCCTTGCACTATACGGATTTCATCTTCTTCTGTCTTGATGAATATCCTTTGCAAGCCATTGTTCTCTATACACAGCTGGGGGAAACACAGAATCGGTATTGGTTGAATCTTGGCAGATTGCAATGGTTCGCGGTCGGATCGAATTTATGGATATGATATAGGTGCCGATTTCCAACCTTTCTCTCCGATGTCGAGCTGGGACTGCTCGGGTCGTTAGTGAACACAATGACTTGCGGCATTTCAGGTGAGAGGAAAACGTATCTGCAGCCATAGGGCATCACTGTCCCCCCACAGCTCGAGCTACGATGGAAAAAACCGATTCGTCCGAATAGCAGCCGCTGCGGCTTTTTGACTTGAAGAACGAATTTCGTCGGGTCCTCCGGATCTTCTTCGACCTTGATAGACACAATAATTTTAGAGTTCGTACGGAAAAAGGACCCGGACCCGAGCGCCTATTGAGGAGAGCACCGGGGGGGCGGCGTGCGGTTTTCTATGATTTCGTTCGTCCGTGTGCGTTTCGAAGGCTCACCTTGACATGTTCCCGGAGAACAAGACACGGCTCTATCGAGACCATGTGGGCCCAGGGCTTTGGCTCCCCGGAAAGTTTCTCGATCATAGTAAATCTCGTTGTTCCGCTGGTCAGAAATAGAAAACGGGGTACTTTCGGTCGTAAGAGGTCAGCTCGGCCTTCCGAGAAGCCACTAGAGGCTATCAGCACCTCCAATGGCTCTTTCAGCTTCAACCAAACTTTCATCTCTCGCTGTTTCGGTTTCGACCCCCTCTTGAAATAATTCCTCTTCACACAATGACATTCGCCCGGCTTCAATCTCAGAACCAATCTCTGCAATGGCGCTTCTGTTTCGGCTTCGAGCTCGAGCAGTACGGTGAAGGGTTCGTTGTTGACGATCATGATCGTTTCGCCGTCCTTCTGGGGGTGCATCTCGACTTCGAGGCATCGCACGTCAATTTTCGCCCGGCATGAGCTCATCAAGACCCCCTCATGTATCACATCCACATTTAGATATTTGTCTTCAGGCGTCGCTTTTATCTCAAGCGGAATACTCTTCATCTCTGGTGCAAAGTTTAGAAGTTTAGTAGCTGACAGATTCGACTGAACCGTCAGCCATATGGATTTAGGGAACGTTCCGTGCAGGGGAACTCGCGCGCTCTGGTTTGGCGGCACCACCAAAATGAGAGGCAGAGCGAAAGACGGCGGGAAACAGTGAGCCGCGAGTTTGATCTGCGTTCCCGATTCCGTATCGATCGTTATCAGAAGGTCGCCCCTCGCTCCAGACGGCGGAGTCAACGTCACCGACATGCGGTCCGAAAGAGACGCCACTTCGCAGAAGCATTTCGTCGGACGATCGTTGAGAGAGCATTGCACGTCGAGCATTCTGATTCGTGGATGCACGGGAAGATAGAAAGTCGAGGTGACCCCGGGGACAACCACTCCGAGCTGATAGGGGAGTCCCAACAACTCTGCGTTCTGGAAGCGAATCGCAAATCTTAGGAGTTGCGGACGCGCCCTTTCACCTCCATTTGGTATAGACGTATATTGTCGAATTCGTATTCTGCGCGAACAGCTCAAACCTCTCCGACATGAACAGAGTCGCATAGATTTGGAGTCTCCTGGATCTCGGTGAAATTTAGCTCTTCGAGAGCCGTGTTGTAAAGTGAAGAACTCGGACTGAGGCTCAAGTCGAAGTCGCCTCCGTTTGAGTCCTCCGGCGTCAACATGGCAAGGCCCTGAAAGCCGAATCCGACGTGAAAGAACACGGAGTCGGAACTTACCGGTAAGCGAGCAATTCAGCTATTATGAGAAAGGTTCCGATTCGGAATGAGATGTGGATCCGACCTCCTTGAGCTTTTTGATGCAATCAGAGTTTTTGCAGAAAATGTGATCTTCGGGTCGATCGGAGATATTCAGCGATTCGTTCCCCATTGCTGATCGAATTCACTTCGCTGTCTCCAAAGCGAACTCGGGCCGTGCCAGCTACGGCAACGGCGGGATTCTACCGGTTGGACACTTTGCCAGATTAAACACTATCTCCGCTCTCTGGTCAAACTGTGGGACGAAGAGCATCTCACGCGAAACAAAAACACTGAACAACTTCTCCCACCCTGTCTCTGTCGAGAACCATCTGTGTGATACTCCGACTGGAAGTCAAGAGAGAAGCGAGCGTGTAGATCCTGAATGTGACGTGCATCTACGTGGCCATCGATGGGGACCCTCAAAACGGATCTTCTGTGCTTCGATGATCCCCACGAGGGCATTGAGCTCATTCGATGGGGTTCTCAGCTCTTGATGACCCTTCGTCGGATTGAGCTGCCTATTCGTTCGAGGAGTTTGTTCCTTTTGAATAACCCGCTATTGAATTGAATTGAGAGTAATTTTGCCGCGAGGAAATCAGGAATACATGTGTGTATGACTATTATTCATCGATCGGTTCACGTCAGCTCTCAGGGACCTCGAGGATGGGACCGGATCGGAGCATAAGAGAGCAGTCGGAATATAGACTGCGACTGTTTTATTCACGAAGCGTTACGCTGACAATAAATTGGCGGAGCTATCGGGAACACACTCCGAATGTAATGTAATACTCAATAAATTCGGATCCGGAATCGCTCTCCTCGAACGACGACGTTTGCCTTGGTCTCCGCGAGACCTGACGAATTCACAGCTTTACATGAGTATACTCCAGAATCGGCGACAAATGCTTCTTGAAGGCTGAGCACACATTCACCTGGAAAAATGATCACAAAATCAAGCGCGTCTGTTGGCAACTTCAAGATGAAATGGTGCTCATATTTTATTCCGCAGAGCCGCGGATCGAGCTGAGCTCCAAGCCGCGCTCCTCCCAAGTGGGATGAGTCTCCTCACCGGTTTCCTCATTGTGTGAGGACACAATGTAGTTGCTTGGCCGGATCATCGTCCCGTCTTTGTACCAAGAGATCTACGAGGGAAGCGAGAGTTTAGTTTTCGAGCTGTCGGAGTGACTTCTACTTCTGGACCGATGGTTCGGCGAGGAATCAATCCATAGGTAGGTACTTCACCTTGGGGATCGGGAACGCTTGCACAACGCAGCGTAACGTCAGTCTCCTCAGTTCGGGAGTCTCCACGTCACTCAGCGGGACAACAAATGCGGGATAAGACGAAGTGCTTCCCGGTGCTACCCTGCTTACAGCAGAAAAGCTTCTCGGCTTCGAGATTCCCTGACTGACGGTCGATTCTCTGTCAAGAAAACACCTCTGAGAACTGAGCTCGGTATTTCGAGAGCACTCGACAGCTCATCTCCGGCGGCCGACGCTTCGCTATGAACTCCATCCTCACCTGGATTCAATTTGCGATTGGTGTTCAAGTGATTTCGAGGAGCTCCCAAAACACAGGGAGGTCTGGCTGTTCGAGTAGGTCTCGATCTTGTATGACTGAACCGCGTGCATGCGACGAACTTGGATCGAGGGGTATTCCGAGTACTCGCCGAGGCTGTGCTTACCCTCGACCGAGCTCATCAGAGTCTTTTGAACATTCGTCTGGTTCTGCGAGAAAGGTCCATTTTGGAAGTGCATCAGCGATGCCTGCATCGACTGTTTCCGGAGTTGTCCAACGAGCAATTGCAGAGTTTCTAGCACCGTATGCGTCTCCTGAATGACCCGTTGGGCATTAGCCGGAACCCGACCCTGATAGAGTTGCTGAGCCAGATTGATCAATCTGAGGAGCGGAATCAGCTTAGGAGCTTTTCCTATATTTTTCTGATAGTGTCCGAAGCCCGGAGATCCTTCTCGTTGAAGAGCTTCCACCGCTTCAATACGACGGCGACCCTTCGATCAACTCACTTCTTGAGCCTCTCTTCTTGATCTAGTTGAGACGAGTGAATTCTACTCTGGACATCATTTAAAATGACCTCCTTGTCCGCTCTCTGCGCCGTACTGCACAGCTGATTGACTCGGACCAGATAATCGTTCGTTTCGCGATACCAACTCTCGGTCTGGAATCGGAGGCAGAATCATAGAAGAACTCCATCACCAGATCGAGCGGGTCGGCCCATAAAAGGGATCGCCCCTTCATCTCCTCTTTGTCTCTCATTCGAGCACTCACCGCATCGAGGACCGTGAAATACTGTACAGCAATATCGATGAGACGTCTGTTGTCTTCGACGAGCCTCGTGAATGCATTCCATTTGAACTGCAGACTTTGTACTTCGCTTTTCGCTTGCCTGGTGTCTTGCCGCCGGTCAGATGTGAGTTTTTGAGACAGGCTGAAGAACTCGTTGATCTGTTGTTCCAGAGACTGTGAATCGGGGGAGGGGTGTGAGCTTCATCGGTGGAGCTGACACGCGAATCCGTAATTCACGCTCATTAGGATGGGAACTCACACCGACGGTAGCGTCGAACTGCTCGAAGGAAATCTGTGCGGCTTTCGCCGCCGTCAGGTTCTGCCCGAACGCTAACCGAAGTGCGCAGAGCTCTTCGCTGAGTTTGTCGATTTGTAGGTTCAGAATCTGTTTCCGGGAAGGGAATTTTGACCATTGTCATCCGCGGAGAGAAAGGCTCCACGATAGATGAGCTTGCTCGTGGAATTCGCTCGCGGTCGATTCTTTCTCCGAATCAGATATCCCCACCTGAATGTTCGCCTTGAACTCGACGAGTCGCCGGGATTCCGCCACGCTCACTTTCTGCTGCGAAATTGTGCTCTCGAAATGCTGACGACTCGTTTCGAGTAGTCGAGAGATTTTCTCTTTGTCCCTGCTCGCCGCTGCGGCAGGTTCCTGAGGAAATCATTGTCACGCTTCACGTATCTCTTCCCTTGAACTTATCAGCGTGTGTATTCCGTTATCTGCGCCGGCTTTCTCATATTCTCCATTATTCTCTTATTTTCCCTTACCAGCTGCTCGACCAGCTTAATTAGCTCCTGGGAGAGCTGAGTCACGGTCGAGAAACACTCGGCGCCTTTGGCTTGTGCATCCTCCAAAGTCTTGGCGCATTGGGTTGGCTGCATTCCTTGCTGATGACAAGTCTTGCCGAGCTTTTCGATCGAATCTTCGAGCCTCTCGATCTGGTGCGGAAAAGTATCTCGATGAAACCTGCTACCTCAACAATCAGAGCATCATCACAACATCCTCATCACAGTAATCTAATCGGGCGGACATGCTTGTCGCGGTCGGCGATTGGTTCCAGGTTTTACCTCATGCACTCCGTCGAGGAAGGTGACTAGTTTTCCAACGATGACCTCATAGTCCCCGATCTTGCTCTGGAGTCTGTCGAAAGATGCATGGAGTAGATCTCTGATTTTCGATAACTCCTCCCTCTCATCTCCATCGGTTGCTTTCGCCGCGAGATGTTCCATCGATCGGATTCTGACCTCGAGCTCGGACTTCACCGTCTGAAATTCCAAGGCATGCGATCAAAACAGTTTGCCGGTCTACGTAGACCGACGAATCCTCTCGCCAAGCCAGAACACAACCAACCTTGACCAGAGGCATCAGAGTGTCGATATGTCTGTCCAGGTACCGTCTAATGCTCTCGGTACGATTCAGCTCTCGAGGTATCGTTGGGAAGAGTTCTTTCTCGAGTTTCAAGGCGGACTCTTTGGTTCTTTGGGCTTCGCGCATCAGCTGATCTGACTGCAAGTCATCGAGTAAAGAGTTAATCATCAAGACCCCGAGAAGCGGCAACGCTTGACAACGCGTGGGCCCGCGAGCTTCTCGATCCCGGAACTTCATTGATGAGGAGGATCGGAGTCGGAGTCTACCTGTGAAGTCTTCGGCCCCGGAGGCGGATCTTTGCGATCCTCCCAAACTTCGAATGTTTTCTTCAGCACGTCCCTCCGGGTGGACAGGGTGGCTTGGACTCCCTGTACCGCTTCGATCAGGCTCGAAATATCCAGGAATGGGTCTTTGGTCTGACGGTGAAAAAAATCGATGAGTCGGTTTGTTTCTCGCTTCAGCTAGGAGGACCTGGAACTCGATCCTGATTCGCAAATTACATTGGGAACGGGCTCGGCAGGGTGGCGGAAGGCTCGAGAGCGAAAATCTACCTTCTGTGCATCGGCTTGTATGATTTTCGATTGGTGATTGAATTGCACTATGGCTTGCTGAGCGTTCATCCAGCTCTGCAGTAGATCCTTCTGCTCACTTTCTGAGAGCTCGTGCTCTGGGCGTCCAACGGTCTCCTCCACCTCTGTCATATCTGAGGAGAGCTGTGAACAATTCGATGGCGCTGTTAGGAATTCTCAGTCCTCAACGGCCTGTCCCTAAACCCCGATCGTAGCCTTCGTAGTGAACACGGGTGGAGACACGCCGACGTGAACAAACTCGTTTCGAATTCGACTTGAGCCTATGATCGATTTGCACCGCCGGAAGCTCACTTGGTCTGAGAGTTTCAGGAAATTGACAAATCGTTGCGCAAGTCGAGCGCGTAACTCGAGGACGTTTCCGATTCGCTCCCAATCATCTCGCAACTTCTGTCCCCTTGACTGAGCGTCAGATGCATCGTCCCCTGGAGTTCGTACATAAATATTTGAACATTTTCAGGAGATTCACATCCGCATAGAGATTCACACTCATATTTATCGCGACTTTAATACATCAGTGTTCCTACCTCCGATGGACAGGACTGCCGGTAGTGTTGAGAAAGCGGCCATCGCGTCCATTTCCTTCATCTGGGAAATACCCATAAAAAATCGTTTGGTTGTCTCGCCCAATCGAATGGAAGGAGTCCTCCTAGAGAATTCGGCTGCATACTCACTTTGACATCACTCTGCATTTTGTTGTGATCTTGGTAGAATTTTGTGGCTTGACCGAGATCACCGTGCAATTCCGTATTTTCAGCGAGAAATTTCTCGAGAACCTGCGGAAGGACAAGATTATACCCTCCAACCTCGTTCTGAGCTCGTGAATGATCTCTCCCGAGGGACTCTCTGGACATCGCTCTCTCACAGTTCCCACCGGACACCTACCTCGTGGAGCCATTTGGACAAGGACTCGATTTTTGAGGAAAAGTTCATGAACGAAGGACTCCTTTGCAAGGCTGCGTGCTCGCCCAGAATTCGCTACAGTAGGTAGGAAGACCATCAGTAAACGAATTTCTGCCGCTAGCGGAGAAAAGTACTCTCGTCATTATTTCTCACTCGGAAATCCGACTCAGCTACCTCATCCTTTGTTTCTTGAATGGTTTTCCTTTGGCCTCCGGTGACTACTGTGCTCTTCTGAGTAACTTGCTTTGTGACCTGTAATACGCTTACGTCATTAGTTTAGATCGGGAGTGGCTGATGCGGAGATAGCAAGTCACTTTGGCACCGTTGCAAAACAATGATGTAACATGTTACTACCTTCATGTGAGTCTTAATCTCTCGACGATAGCTTTCACTCTTGATTTCTCTAGTTTTAGGAGTCTCCGAAAGCGCGGTGTTCTCGGTGCACGTGGACATTTCTTCGTATTCATCCTGGAATTTCAGGGCAAATCTTTCACGAGCACGAAAGGATCCCGCGGATCCATCACCGTAGAATATATTGATTCAGTATACGCGACGAACGGGTTGAGTCCGCGCCCTCGCGAAGGAGAAATCTCAGGCATCAAACCTCTTTGAAAGTCTCGTCTTCCTGCGTGGCCAGCGGAGCCGTGAGCGGAATATCCGCAGCGTGGGATCCGCTAATGCTCTGCGGTGAAGGCCTACGACACTGCTCCATCTTGTCCCGCTTTTCGGCGCTGTCACCGTCATGTACTCGAGCGGTGACCGGTGTTATTTCCTCGTATAGATCGGACTCGGTCGAGGATGTCGAGACGGACGCCTCCCCGGACACAGTTTTCCGACTCGGGGAGGACTGGCTTTTCGAAGCTCGAAATTCGTCCAAAACTTCTCTGACGCCCACGACAACGTGTGGTTCCGTCTCGAAGTGTTTGAGAAGCTCATCCCCGAGGAGGACAACCTCCTTCCGTAATTTTTCCGACGATTCGGAATCTGGGGATCTCTGTAACTGGAGAGAGGCGTTGGTTCCCCGCATCCGTAGTTTTTTCTGCTGTGGATTCGCTAAGAGCATCGAAGTGGCGGAAAAGCTTCTTGTCACAACAAACCTCGTTCGCCTTGTGGAAAAATCGTTTAGCTTTGTGCAGAGCGTCATGTCTCGCATTAAGCGTCTCTTCGAGTTCGGTGATTGCGTTCAGAATGACGTAGGCTCTCTGTTGAACATCGGATCCGGCGTAACCGCCACTCGCTCTGTCGTCCGTAGCCTTGAGGAGCTTCACTGTCGCCTGCTGACATTCGGCGGGTTGAGATGAGTATCGTGCTAGATCTCGGGTGGGGAGCGGCTTCTGGCGAAATAGTGCTCCCGGATGGACCTACCTGCCGTCGATCTTTGACTTCGGTCAAAATGTCCGTGAGCCCCTCCAGGAGGGAGTCGCTTTCCCCGGATTTGCCGAGGGTTCCCGCCGCTAGGAAAGGCTTGCCTCGGTTGCTGTACCAGCTCTCGAGATTGCGAACATCTTCTTCAAGTTCTCTCTTTTTGGAAGAACCGCTTAGCATATACTCCCGTTGACCGAGAATAGCCTCCACCTGCATAGAGCCGCCCCGTCGTAAGTTGCGTCCATTCTTATTGCTGTTTATGAGGGAAACGCTTTTCTGGAGACACTGGCGTGAGCGTTGGTCCGATAAAACTCGACCGACAAAATCATCAGGATGCAAACACCCGTGAATCTCGCGAGGAGATCGTAAATCGTACCAATGTAGGAACGTGTATTTTTACCTCGGTCAATTTCGCCTGGAGGAATTCTTTATACTCTTGGATGTCTTTCTGAGTTCTTTCAGCTGCATGGCGTGCGTACTCCGGTCGAGAATCTCCGAGCGAATGGTCGGCAATCGGTTTCAGGAATTCGACCAGGAGATCCGCCTCCGATGCGGCTTGCTGCGCGCATGTTGTCAAAACTGTAAGAGCGGGCTACCCCATATGAGATCGGATCAGGAAGTACAGAAGTCGGGGGAAGAGAGGGGGACGAACGCTGGAGTCATTCTTAGGTACGGGAGACTTCATCTAAAGATTGGGCTCGGAGGAATGCGGCTCACTGTTCCGAGCAGCTGATATCTCGTCCAAAATCCGTTGGCATTTGCTAGCGTCGTGGGGTATGAAGCTCCCAGCGAACTGCATTTCCGCCCGCGTGAGTTTCTCTAAGAAGTCGCGCGATTTGGCATGGAATGCCACCGCCTGAAGAGGAAGACACTCAGCTCGGAAAAGCGATCCCTCTGGTGGGCGTGCAATGTGCAACTGAGCGATAATAATCAGTCCAATCGATTTTTTTTCGGGCTGGCCCAAACAGCCAAAGATCAACGTCCCGGGTACTGTACATTGCTCCCGAGGACGGATCCATAGAGCAAATGTACTCAGGAGGATCAAGGCCGAGTACCTGCATATTTTTCCGACGGCAAGGATAATCAGTCCCACCAGAAAAGCGCATTCGAGGAATCTCACCTGATGGAGGATAAGTTTCCGCTGCTCGAGCTGCGTGTTCAAATCTTTCCATGCGAAGCCAAGATTCTCGGCCATAGCCATGTAGACCTATGGGAGATAGGCGTTCCAAATCAGGATTCAACTACAGGAAGCAAGGGGTTTCCCACCGAAGCGGATTCGATATTTCGGAGAGCATCAAATCGAGAACAATCGAGTCACCTCTTTCTTGGGTTTTTGACGACTGATGGTTTCGTCCGCTTGTTTCAGGAGCTCTTCGACTGGATTTTGCTTTGTTTGTAGCTTTCTCAAAACCTCATCATGCTGCTCACAAAGCTGTTGAGCCTCCTCGAGATTCGTCCCGATGTCGGTGAACAATGGAACCATTTCTTGGATTTTCAATTCAACCCTTTCGACGCACTGGAAGACGAAATCGGATAATCTTGGTGACGATTTCAAGCAATTCATTCGTTTCTCAGGGGAGTTCCCGTCAAGAACTTTTCCGCCGATTCGCTCGATGGATCTCCTCCGCGTAAATTCTCGACTCAGCTGTCAGCTAACAGCGACATCTTCCAGCAATCGAATAACCGCTCTCGCTATTTCACGATTTCCGGCGGGGCCGGCAGGACGGACAGAAAATGAGTTCCTCGTAGGAGTCACGAGCGGGAATTCAGATATGTCGAGAAGAGATTTCGAGCACGTTCTACTCGAGGTAGAGACTCGTTCCCGAAGTCTCTTGCTGAGCGTAGTGCGGGCAGCGATCACTGAGCCAGAAGGGTTCATCGACCTCGAGATGCTTGCCAAGTAGAACAACTTCAATGATTATTGAACGAATCTGACTCAGAGATCAGCTGCCTCAGTTCGAGAGCTCGGTGGTCGTCGGCAATATGTCTCCGAATTCACGGATTCGGGATTCCATGATCGTGTCAAGGAAATCATAATTGATCCTTCGAGCAAGGTGGACTCGTTGCAGAGGCGTAACCTCGGACACGTCGGGAGGCCTTGCGGTGGTTTACCGCCAACCACATCTCACTCAGAGCCGTAATTGAAAAGTTTCAGTTTTAATTCCGCCAGAATCTTCCGTTCGCCGTTGTGAGCAGTGTTGTTGAAAAATAAGAGAAGCGGCTATGAGACGAAGCTCACATTGGAGAAAATTGGAAGCCGCTCAAGAGGTTCGCGAGCAGCGATCCGAAAAGCGTTTTCTTTCTGGATGGCCATATCATCAAAAAATCGAGGGCTTGCTCACACACACAGACGCTTTGAGATGAACAAGCTGAGCGATGGGTTGCGGGAAACAAAAGGAAAGAAGAAATCTTTGAATTGAGCCAGATATTTTCAGATTAGTATTAGGACTTCGCCTGTTTTCACCGCAGCTCCCGTTCATTGTCCGCGCATTCTCGAGAAGAGACTGTTGAGCCTCGCGCAAGTCAACCGCGTCTGCCGCGAGTCTTCTGGTGGGTCAGGTCGACAAGCGCCCATTCCTAGGACATCGAGACTAGCGGAATGAGCAACTGGCGGCTTGATCCGTTCAACAAACCGCAGGAAGAGCTGTTCCCCCAATCAGTATTATTCTCGATCTGTGGATGATTTCCCGAGAACAGGATGAACCTTCCTGACTCCGAAGGACCGCTGAGCTAATTCACTGTCAGAGGTTGGGTTTCGAGAGACACGTGGGAGAGTCGGAGTCAATTCTCGAGCTACCTCATCGTGGTGGTCGTTGCACGCGCTCGACCAACTCTTCTGGTAGTCACATGAGGTCACAGTCTCTTTGCTGGCTGGCAAAGCAATCTTTTGGTGACCAACACGCAGTGCTCGACGACTGAGCAAGCTCGGTGATAGAACACTTCTCTTCCAAGAATCGCTCTGCGGATCGAATCGAGAGAGAACAAGACTTCTCATAAAAAAATCATCACACGGATCCTCGCTCGATTTCCAGATTGCTCCCGGAATTTCCACGATGTCGTTCTTCTGACTGCATCCCGAACGCGATCTCCAGAGCGATTCACCCAATGATCTCCACCCCCCCGATATTCTCAAGACCGCGCTTACCGTCGCCCACGTACAGAGTAGAATTCGCTGAGGAGAAAAGTCAACGGCGGATTTGTTCTGATATTTTGAAGATGACTTCAGGAATAATTTGGACGCCCGCCTGGCAATATCTTTCCCGAAACCGCTACCAGGTCCTGAGCGAGTGAGTGACGGACCGACTCTTCGTGCGAGTGTAGGAGACCGCTGAGTTTATCAACAACTCTTAGACGCTGGAAATGCGCGTTCCGTCCAAGAATGGGCCCTCCACCCGCAAGAGAGCGGTGCATATCGCCCGCCGGTGCCACTCGAACTCCGTCCGATCTCTGAACGGATTTCGCACGTGACAAGTCGGAGGAACTTACTTGGAGCAGCGCGAGGACGAGTTTCGTGCCTCCGCTCTGGAGCGCAATTGTGCTGACCGTCGTCGTCGCTGCGGGATCCTCCGCCATGTCAGCTCTCTTAGGTATCCGTTTTCTCAAGTCGGCGTCGTATGGGATTTCGAGGCCAAATCCGAGTCCAGACGAAATGTTCACGCACTCATAGTGACTAACGGTGTGCGGCCCTTAGCGTTCCTACGACGGACTACCGGCTAAGCTCTGGCTTGGGCCCTTTCCCAGTGTGCGAGTGCTCGCTAGGGGCCCTTATGAGGAGGACGCAGCCGACTCTCGGTGCCAGGGCATCGAGACTCCGTGGACTGCTAATATTGAGCTTTCGCTGTTTGTCGATGGAAACTTTCGCTCTTTGCTGAATCTTCTGCGGAACGAAATGACGGCATCGGGGAAAAGCGACATCGGGAGGGACGGCGAGGCAGGCTTTCGTTGCAGCGGCTTATTGCGGCTGTCAACAAACGCCATTCCCCGACTGAGGGGAAGTAGACTTGCTGATCGAAGAAGACAAGTGTGTACGTCTCGGCCGCGTGGGCGCTTACCGAGCGCGATCGTTTTTGCTCTGTCGCGCGAAATCTTCTCGTTGACGCTTCGGTCAGCGGACGCGTGAGTCTTGCTGTCGTCGGAGACGGCACATTGCTTTGCAGCAGGTTCTCGACCGCATCTGCTCGAATCACTTGCAGATCCGAGAATCCGCTCCGATTGAATTATCCCAATTCGCAACAATTCCAACACGGGTGCCGAGCATTCCTCTGATCGTGGCAGTGATCGGGAGCTCGATCCGCACGGATCCGAAAACCGTTGATAGCGGTCCGTTCATCCGATTCCCAGCCCTAAGAGACGGGAGACGGGAGACGCGAAACGTCCCGTGACGTTTCCCGGAGCATCCTCTGATCTCGAGCATGTGCGACGGCTCTCGTCTGACCCAACCCTGCAGACTGGATCTGGAGTACCTAGGTAGTCCAGAATCGAGGTATGCGGAACCTATGATTGGTGCTTGCTGTCAAATTGAATGACTGTCCGTCTGAATGAGTGGAGCTATGAGTCTGGGGAGAAGGAAGGGGAGCAGCGGGTCGTGATCCGTTTTTTTCGGTTGTAGTGTCGGTGTCTAGATTGGCCACTACGGCCGCGGCAGCGGCTAGTGAACCAGGCGCTTCTGCTCAGCTGCTTGTTCCGGAGCCGGAGAGGGCGCGTGCCGCACCACAGCACTAACCACGTAACCCACATTCAGAGTCCTTTCGGCTTTTCTTCTTCTTTTTTTCGCGATCAACAGAAAAGAAAACTTTTGGTGAAACTTCTCTTCACATCAGTAACGACTTTGCCAGGAGCAGCTGGAGTTGATATCTGTTTCATTTGGGTGTTTAAGGTCGTTCGTTGTCGTGTACGAGCGCCGCGGAACTTCATTGGGAAGTGCTGCTCCCGCGAAACTACCTCCGAGTGATTCTGTGACCGAGGTGAGTTCGGCTCCCGCGACCGCTCCCGTCCCACTTGGAGCAGGATTTGGCGCCCAACTAATGAGATTTATATTCATTCACGTCTGTCTGCGTGTCGACCCGCTACTCGATTCGCGGATTTCGTAATGTCGCTTACCTTGATGATTGGGTCCAGCAATTATTATTCCGCGAGACACTGGGAAGAGAAGGGTTACGCTCCAAATCGGTCATCCAATTTCATTTCGTACGGCACTGTCTTTCCACGGCGCCGGCGTCTGCCCAACAAGGGGACCGACGCCGCGAACGTCACAGTTTCTTGTGCGTCGTTCGACAAATAGGTGGGCACGCGTTTCTCCCCCCAGCTCCCGAATTTCGGCGTCTCACCACTCTCGAAATTGTTCTCGCCCAGATTTGGGTTTTGAAAGCCTGCCTCGAAAGCCCCCGTGACTAAACTCAACAAGAGGCCAGAGGACCTCAGGTTGGAGGACCTCCCGAGTCTGTACCGATGGTCCTAAATTTCCAGGGAATCTCGTTAGCTGATGGAATCTTCGGATTTACGTCAAGCTCGGGCGACCGACGGGGTACCAAAGCTCCTTCAGAGACAAAATCTTCTGTAAAGGCTTGCGAGGTCTCTCCTAAATTCGATCCGCCTCTCCAAACCAGACGCAGCGATAACAATTTCGTTTTCTATAGACACAGACCGCTAACGCATTGAGTATTGTCGCCGTTGCGCTGTTTCTTGTGGTGAGGTCTTTTCGAAGGGAACTTTGGCCAGTAATCGGATTTTCGGTTTCAGCCCACTCTTCTATAACGGACGGCCGAGAAAGAAGTCGAACATGAAGTTACTCTTGACGGGGCTTCTCGTGCACGGAGCGTTATCCGAGGTGATAGTGAAAACTTCGTCAGGATACCTTCAAGGACTCAAGGACAGCGTGTTCAACAGGACTCTATATTCGTTCCTCGGTGTTCCGTTCGCCGAGCCACCACTCGGAGACCAGAGGTTCAATAAACCTGTCCCCTACGGGAAGTGGGACGGTATTTACGTGGCCGAAACACCATCGTTCCCCTGTCTCCAAGACGATCAATACTATTCCGAGAGAATGCAGGTGAGCGGTGCGAACTCGACCGAAGACTGCCTCTACCTGAACATTTGGACGCCGGACCTGTGTCGCCAAAGAGCCTGCGAAAGGAAAGCCGTCGTCGTTCTGCTCCACGGCGGGGGTTTCTTCAGTGGTGGGAATTCCTACATGTTCAACAATGGATCGTTCCTCTCGGCTCTCGGTGACGTGGTTGTGGTCGTCCCAAACTACCGTCTCGGAATTTTCGGCTTCCTTGACCTCGGCACTCCCGACGCTCCTGGGAACCAGGGTTTGTACGACCAGCTGCTCGCGCTCAAATGGGTTCAGAAAAATATCGAGAGTTTCGGCGGGGATCCCTCAAAAGTAACCCTTATGGGTCAAAGCGCCGGCGCCATTTCGGCCGGACTCCACATGATTAGTCCGCTCTCTCGGGGACTTTTCACAAGGGCCATCATGCAAAGTGGATCCCCCTACGCTCGACCTTCAGACGGAGCCCTTCAAACCATTTCGAGATTGGAAGCGCTCGCCGTCGAGCTCGGTTGCTCGGTCTCACAGAAAGACACCTTCAAGAAAGAGGATATCGTTCAGTGCTTCAAATGGACCGAAGGTGAGTCTATCGCTGGACACTTCCGAGATCAGAACGAACCCCAAGTCTCGGTAGGGAAGAATTCATTATTTCTCATACCAAGAGTGTAACCCCAACTCATCACCGTTATATCACAACGCAGCGAAGAAGTTATTGGATGCTTCGCGACGCATGGGCGGCGGAATGTCTGGAAACAACTTCTTCCCAACCTGGGGCAATGAATTCCTTCCCCTGGAGCCCCGAGAAGCTATGGAACAGGGAGACATGGAACCCGTTGACGTACTCATTGGTGAGTAGCTCGTCATCGAGCAAGTGAGCTCGATAGGAAGCACAACTCAGCATCGGAGTCAGATCGGGGACATCCTTCTCACTGCTTCCACGCGCTTCCAGGCACGAATCAGAACGAGGGCGGCGCTTTCATCAATTACTTCCTGCACAAGGTTTTGAAGCAGGATTCGATGAACGCAGTAAGCCCTGAAGAAGTTAGATTCTACCTCAATGTCTTCATGAGGTTCTCACTCCAGAGTGCCGCGAGGGAACTCAGTGACTTCTACTTTAAAGGAGTCCAAAACACTGTCCAGGTCAGATTTCTGCAGAGTCGTGCTGTCAAAGTTTATTCTTCCTCCGGGGGACCGTCTTCTAATACTTCTTCTCTAGAGACTTTTTTAGAACTCGGATTAACCTCCGGTACCACATCTTACTTGAATCCCTCACCCGTAGGCATTCCAATCAGCGTGCTTGACGTTCGGTGACTTCCTGTATCAGTGTCCGACGAACTATTTCGCGGATATTCTGGAGCGTTACGGTCGCAAGGTGTACATGTATCACTTCGATCATCGGCCATCGTTCTCGTGGTATGAGAAATGGCTCGGTGCGGTACACTTCGACGAATTCGTCTTTGTCATGGGTCAACTGTTCCATGGGGATCTTGCCTTCTCACCTACGATCGATGAGCTCCGACTGAGTGCGCGCATGATGAAGATGTGGACTCATTTCATTAAATTCGGGTGAGTCTCCAGCCGCGATTCCGATTCTCCACCCGGGACCTCGTTTTCGAAGAACTCCCCTACTAAGAGATTAGATGGCGAGTTTTTTTCGATCTGACGGATCTCCACTCCCCGGTTTTCAGAGCCTTCGAGGACACCAAGTGGCCTGAATACGCTCAGTATAACAAGACCTACATGAATATAAACACCAAAGCCTTGCACGCGAAAATGCCCATATCCACCTACACCTTCATTGGTCAAGGCCCCGTGCGGAAGCAAGCCTGTGAGCTCTGGGAGCCCTATATAAAGGTTTGGAAGAGTCTCTGCTTGGATCGAAGCTAGTGTGTTGATTGGGTTCAATAATTCAGACTCCTCGGAATTGAGGGAATAACTAATTTTTTCCCTCTCCCCCCCCCTCCCCCCTTCCGCGGGATAGGTTCATACGGCGAAGAGCAAAGTGTCCTTGGACCCGAAAGGCCAGCAAAGCCTCATCGACGATCACGACATCTCCTTGGAAAAACTTCAGGCCTCGCAAAACGAAAGACTCGAAGAAGAGATCGGTAGGAGCACGCTGCGAGAAATCGTCAACCGACTCAGAGAACGACTCCATTGATTGACGCGAAAGCGAAAGTTGCCAAAGAATCTCAGAGACAACGGACGAAGCCATTCTCCGACAAATCGAGCGGCCTCCTCATGTACCTAATTTATTTATTGAAAAATAGTAGAGGAGAATGTGGACGCGAAATAAATGGATCCGGATGAAGACATATAAAACGGAGCTTGTGTATGGAGACAACCATGGATAATTTATTCAATACATTTTTGAGAGGTAGAGATCATAAAATTGCCCTACGTCTAATCGTGTCTTATGCGCTCATTTCGGTTCCGATTGTTGGTGTTACTCGCGCCCCCTCGTTGAGGCGGTCGCTGCCCGAGGAAAGATGTCATCATCTCGCTGAGCTCCGGAACTGCCGGCATTCGAGCTGCATTCTGCATTTGCTGGACTTCACGTTGCGTTTGTGCCATGTCTTCGGCACTCATCATTTTCGGCAAGACCATGATGAGGAGCACCGGAAGACCCATCGTCCATACCATCGGATGGAAGATGAAGTCCGTAGCGCTCCACGTTTCTCGCTAGAATTGAATCCCAACACATTATTCCTAGAACACAGTGAGTGAACCTCACCGGCACTGATCATCATCTCTCTCACGACAAATAACCCGCTATTGAGCCACGAAATTGATCCCATGAGACAAAAGCATAGACTCGGTGGACGGCGTACCTGCTGAAAGTAGTTATGTAGACCCAAAACTTTGATTTTCAGTGGGTACGGTAGGTGATTGTTCAGATGAGGCTGAACATTATTAACGCGGCGAGCTCTCTTCGCCCCCTTTGAGGATATGTCCACACGGACCGGTTCGAAATTGATGAGTGGATGCGAAACCTTGGGAATGTGGATTCAGAAATCAGAAAAAAAAACATCGAAAACAATACGATTAAATGGAAAAGGGACGAACATCATGCGCCTTTGAACCCACCTGGACTAGATAGGATCCAGGAACAACGTTCCGTATCTCGAAAGAATAATCGTCTTTCAAGAAACCTATATGTTGACCCCCGTCAACAAGAATCTGGGTGGCCTCCAGAATGTCTGTGAAATTGTCTTGATGAGGAGAAATCGCGAGTTTCCCTGGAACATGCAGAGAATACTTTCAATTAGGGTGAAAATCGAGGGTTCAAGGGATCCGCAACGTCGAGCAAAGGAGCAAGAGGTCTAGAAAGATGCTCCGCCGCGGATCGGAAACAGGAGCGGCGAGGATCACAAACAAGTCATCGGGTATTGCTCGTGTAGTTACGTGAGAGATACTCAGTCGCGTTCGACCTCCCCGTGTGCTCCGGCAGAATCGACGAATTTTCCTTCCCGCGCTAGAGCTTACGGCCGAGATTTATCGTCGAAGAGCTAATTCTCCGGCAGGGTGGGATCGAGGCAACTGAACTGCGCTCGACCTCGCCTCTAGCTGCTGACGTAGCGTCATAAGTCACGGCAATCAAGCTCGGAAAAATTGAACACATTTTATTCTTCGATCTCATAGGAGGAGCTATCATGACATCGTCACGACGGCTCCCGCGTTTGAAAGACTTTCACTGAGATGTCAGCATGGCAGTGAACCAACCTAAAACCACCGATCACTAAACATTTGAGACGACTCTGACGCACTCCACCAACGCCTCTCTGAGTTCGACTAGACGACTTCGCTGTGACTCAAGTCTCCCTAATACAGTGTTGATCTCCTCTATAGTGAACCTCTTGCCGCGAAGAACAATATTCGCTAGGCCCAGGGCCGCGGCATCGAATATCGAGCCGACTTCGGCGATGTCTTCGATCCGTCCTCTGTAAACTTTCACCGTCACTCTTCCAGTGGATATTTTGAAGCGGGGGGTCCAACCGAATGTCCATTCCCAGTCGCGCAACTGCACCGTTTGAGATTTAACTCCTGGGAAGTTCTCTTCGGTCACATCAATTTCTTCCCATTCGAAACCGCTCCCCACTTCCGTGCAGAATTGTTCGCCGAGGTGTTTCGCAAGCGCGGGAGCTTCTATTCCCGGTGCGACATCGGCCAAGTTGAGGACTTTGGCTTTGACGCTCCTAGTGCACTTGGTCTCCATGGTGTGCTCGCCGGGATTCTTCAAAATAGAGCTCAGTAATTCCTTGTTGGCATTCACCAAGAGTGTACAGTGATGATAAGCTTTTTTGTGGGCTAACTTCGACGCGGTGCCGGATACCTTGTGGTTCCCATTGACCATGATATCGTCACGATCATTGGGTTCCGCGTTGATTTTATAACGATTTCGTAGGGTGTCGCAGATCGTCTGAAGATTCCGTTTTCTATTGTACGTTCGTTTCGGTCCGATGAAGGATATATTGAGATTGCCTTCGTCGTGGTACACGGTTCCACCACCGCTGTTCCGCCGGACTAGATCGATGTTGAGGTTTTGCATTTGCTTCAGGTCCGCTTCCAGCCAAGGGTTCTGATGCCTGCCGATCACCACACATGGCCGGTTGATCCACATCAACATCATACCACGCTCCTCATCGTCTGGGAATTTCAGCTGTTCGAACAGCAAGCTCTCCAGCGCCAGATTCTCAAAGATACATTTAGACTTCGAGAAAACGACGGCACCGTTGCGATAAACAAAGGGATTGCAGAGGAGTTTTGAAAGAAACACCATCGTCTCATCCGTTCTGCAGCGGAGCTCTCGCGAAGCAGCAGCTCAATCAACTAAGATTCGAGAGCCGCTGCTTGCTCGATCGACTCCACCGACTCTCCGACCGAGGATTTCGAATTGGGCACTCTGAGAAGGAGGGAACCGAGGATCGCCCTCCAGGAAGATTGTTCTTCTGAGATCTCGCGCACGTCCTTTGCAGGCATCAGAGTTGTTATAAGGCGGAACCCAGCTGACACATAATTCTAGCACAGCCTCGGTCGCCAAAACTCACCTTCGATCGTGTACTCGGCGTCTCCGCTCGCTCCCTCATCAGCCGAGGTCACCGCCGCAGCGAGCAGCACCCCGAACATCAAGATTGAATGAGGTAATCTTGTCATTTTGGAGCGTTTTACACCCGAATACAATGTTTTTAAATCAGACTAATCAACGGAAGCAGGCTCACCGCTCTAAATGACGGAGAAGTCGACTTCTTCTGAACCCCCTTTGATGATAATCCTCGGATATTACAGGGAAGCATGAATTTGCATAAGGCTGCCGAGTAATACAAAAAGTATTGAACTCCCCACATTCCAGACACCAGTCGAACGAGGAGGAGAAGCTCCTCGATTATATGAGAGTGAGGAAAAAAGTGTTCCTTATCATTACTCATCGGAATCGCCTCTCCTATCAATCCCCCCCCCCCTCAACTTCATTGTACCCACATTCATGGAGATTCATTGCGGCTTTGCCGTTTTGATATTCGCACATCAGAGGTCCCAATGACCACGTTCCTCGGGCATCGTGGTCCAGGAGTGATGTAGGTGACAGTCAGTTCGGAAATCCCGGATAATCGGGTCTGAAAACCGCGGAAGCGACCGGCGCATTGAAACATCTGCAGATTGAGAATTCCCAAAGAGGTCGAGAGTCGTGAAGTGACGAGCACCTTGTTGAATCTGAGGAGTGGTCCCATCCGGGATAGCGTCACATCAGGAGTCGGAACGCAGAAAAAGTTCCATACGATCGACGTAAGCCCTCGTGATCTGCTGAACTCCACGAATTCCTGCGACATCGTCAGAGCATGTAGCGATCTTGGCGCTTCCTCTGAAGTAGGAATCGAGCGAGATGATTCTGAAAGCCTCTAAGATTTGACCGATGGAGTGAGTTTTGTCGAGTTTGCGAACCCTGATCCCTGAATCGTCCAAGCAAAATGTCGACTGACGGGTTGGCCCAAGCTCCGGCATCCGAATTCGCGCGCCTCGTCTGGACGCCCAGAGCAGCGGAGACCGTGGGACCAAGACGAATTGTTTACTCACACACAGAAGCATGCAGCAGCGCAGGAGCGCGCTGAGAAACTAAGCTCGATTCGAACCGTGAGGACAACGATCCTGAGTATTCCGAATTCCGAGTTCCGAGTCGACTATAGGTGCGCCCCATTATGGAGGCGGAGACTAAGGAAACTTCGGGGGCACTGCTAGCGCTTGAACACGCGTCAAAAGAAGAACACATCGGAAGGCTCTTCAGCCAGAATCCGTCGAAACCGAAGATCGAACGTCTTTCGTCTTCAGTTCTCCAACGAGTGCAAAAGTTTCTACCGGAGCTGCATGACGCGAATGAGGTCATCGCGAACAGTGACGAGGGAAGAGAAACTCTCAGCTGCGAAGTCGGAGAAAACTTCGACGGACCGGCGGTAGAAATGACTCTAATGCTCACGAAAGAGGACGAAAAACAAACGAAGGTAAGTTCCATCTTTTCCGGAATCGGATCGGTATAAATTCGTGGAAGAGGTTGGACAAAAATTTACCAACTGATTGCTGTTCCCGGATTGCTCAAAGCAGTGGAGATCCAATGAGCCGAGTGTCCGATTCCTTTTGCAGATAATTGAAGTCCTCGAGAATGATTCCCAATCGGAATCATCGGATTCGGAAAGCGCTGCTGAAGAGGAATCGGATTCGTCTTCTGATGAACTGTGAATACTGTAGATAGTCGAGCGAATCGCGGTGATCCTCCCTGTGGCCTGTGGAACGCTTCTTGTTTCTCCGTGATACATGTACATACGGAACTGAATAAATAATGGACGTTATAGTTGAGCGAAGCGCGATCCGCCTCTCCGCCATCCTTGGCGTCGCAGGAGGTACCCCGAATCAGTCTCTCGCCAATCTTCTGGCGATCACGATGACAGTCCCCCGGACATATCTGGAGTGCTATCTACATCAATGTGTTTGTTTGATTGTATTGCTCTCCCTCATTCTCTGTGATTGAGGTGCAGGCCGACGCCACGAACCATTCGCGATCATCACCCCTGAATCGACGACCCTGGCGGAATCTCCTCCATCGTGGATGAGTTCGGGCTACGGGGGACTTCCGATTCTGGCGTTTGGGGGAATAGATTATCAAGCCAATGACAGTCCATTCCCCTATTTCAAGTTCGAGCCAACTGATAGAACTACCCGATGGTCATTCTCTCAACGGTGGGTAACAATCCGTTCAGAGTTCTTGTAGGGCATCCATGAGATTATGATATACGAAGGACTCCCGGCTATTCGTCATTTCGATCATCTCCGCCTATCCACAAGAAGAAGCTCACACATTCATTCAATTCAGTGGATAATGAACTTCGGAGTCGTGCAGCTTGCGATAAAATGAGAGAATTAGCTGGGTAGTTGTTGCGAGCATGTGATCCTTCTGCTCACGCTACAAAGAGAAAGAAACGGAGGCCCCGATAGGCGAAGGGCCTGAGGGATGAGAAATCCAGACCGAGACATATTCGTTGAGGGGGGACCTCAGAGTGTAGGTATGCGTAGAGCTAGACCATAGCGAGGTCGGAGTGCTCCGGGGAGTCGTCGCCAGTGCTGAAACGCTCCTTTTGCCGTCAAATGTGGTTAGAATCACTTCCTTGGTATGTACGACTCCTGCTCCGCGGGAGCTCAGAGGACCGAGGAGTGTTGTTGCAATCACCGCCCGGGATACCCTACTCAAAGAAAACTCAGGAGATCTTGGGCACTGGATACCCGGGAGTCGCTTTTTCTGTTGCCTCTGATTCGCACGATGTTCTGGCTTGCGAGGATCGTCGGCAAGTTGCTTCTGGTCGCCGCCGCTACCGCTGCGTCGCAACCGACGACGGGACGTGCAGGGGCTCGACGTTTCGTTCCCATCGCAACAGAAAAACTTCTCCGCGGGCCTTCATTTATTGATATTACACCCCTCGGATTCAGCTATCTATGGGGATTCGCCACACTCCCGGCCAAATTCCGATCGACTCCTAATGATATATTGGTCCACAATTAATTAATTCACTGCGACGTTGGCCTCTCGAGTAACAATGCGGCACATTTGAAAGACCGGCCAAGACGCTCGAGCTGAATATTTTTCCCGGAAACACTGGATGTTCTAGAACATTCGACGGGCGGAATTTGAGAGGTTTGAGACTGGATCTGCGCGACATAGACTCGACATCGAAGTGGAAGATGGCTTTAAAGAGACCGTTGAGAAATCGACATGTGCAATGTGCCGAGCCCGCAACCCCATTGGTCCGCTAATCCTTTCCCAGCGCCGAGCCCGCGATTCCGATTCCAATTTTTCGTCACTTCTCGCTGTTCCTTTGAGAGCTCAGCATGCCTGACTGTATCTTCGACCGAAGCCCCTTGGGACTCTTCGTACGCTCCGTAGGGATGCGGTCCAGGTTCGACGGTGCCTCTGTTGGTGACGTGAGGGCCGCGGCCCGTGTCGTGTGGAACTCGATGACGTATCTCGAACGGCAGCCCTACGTCGACGCGAAAAAACGGGCCCGCGCCCGAGGGACTCGGGATCCAGTCCCCCCCCCCACAAGTGACGAGCTCTTCCGCCGCGTCGACGAGGTCCTCCGAACACGTCTGCCAGCGCCCGCGGACCGTCCCCCCAGCCCCACGCCAAGCGCCCGCGCCGCCCACCTTCGCCGGATCCGTCTCGCCGCCGCCCAACGCCGCCGAACCCCGGCGCCTCGGATCCAGTCCGAGGCGGGCCCCAGCTTCGCCGGCCCGGCTGGTCACTTCGCAGCCCATGCCGCGCTCGACGCCCAGATCCGGCGCCAACGTGAAGAAAACCGTCGCAAGGAGGCGGAACTCGAGCTGGAGCGGGAGCGCACCCGCGCTCTCGCCGCCGAGATTCGGCTCGAGCAAGTCCGGACCCGCCCGGAGAGCGATTTCGCCCGACGCCAGCGGGAGGCGTACGAAGCTATTGTGAGTCTGCCCCGCAGACATTGAAACAAAGGCGACTGGATCGCCGCTTTTTTTTTTGATAATATATATATATATGTTTTTGCGACCGACGCGTTTTCTCTAACTAGCAATCTGCTCCCCCCCGTGTACGACTGCGATCTGTTCGCTAAACTTCCAGGGGGTAGAGCAACTGAATCGGTCTACTGAACGTTTGACCTGTTTCCAGCTTGATTAAACACGACCGCTGCCGTAGATCCGTACGCTCTCCCCCCGAAAGGCTCAGAACTCGACATAGGGGCCAATGAGCTCTCGACGGGACTGAGTCCTTGAGTAGACAGACATCCCCGACCTTTATCGAACGCGGTGTGACTGGATCACGAATATGCGCCGAACGCAGATATTGCAAGTATTCCTCTTTGAAACGCTTCTGAAAATTCCTCAACACCGCTTG